TAAAAACTCACCCCCTCCCCCTTCCCGACCTCAGATCGCCCGTAATTTATTTTTCCATTCATTTTCTTTATATTTTCTACCTTTTCCAATGGGTTTTTTTGTTGGTTGTTTAACTATAATTTTTTTTGGTCTCAAAAATTATCGACCCTGGTCTACATCAGCGTCTGTCGACCAGCGTGCTCTGTTATGAATGTCATAAAATTATTAAAGCCAAGCACTGTTTAACTTTGACGTTTTCTGTTGTTTATGTCCAAAAATTCCTAGAAGATTTTTTTACTTAATAGGCTACTTGGCACTTTTTGGAAATATGTTTTAAATGGTTAATAATTGTTATATTAGACCAAGAAAAATGTATTGTTTTTTTTTTTACTTAGAAAGCTACAAAACTTTATAGATTTTTCATGGGCATACAAAAACACTGTCGGCCATTTTAGTCTATCTATGCTATGACGTCGACAGAATCGTAAACAAAAATTCGGAAGCACGTAGGAAATAACCTGAATCTAAATTTGTATTATAAAACCATAATTTCTAATAGATTTCATGATAAATATAATAATTATCATGATTGTATTACACGAGAACGTAGAAACATATCGTTAAAGACTCCAGAAAAGTTGTGGTTTAAATTGTCTAGAAAAAAACACATACCTACACATGAACACAGTAATGTTTAAAACTTGCTAAATCCTGTAATTTTACCGTCTGAAAGTTATTTCTTTTAGCAAAGATCACTTGAATGTGAGTACTCATTGAATAATATTTAAAGTTTAAAAATACAATTTTTAAGGTGACGAATGTACCTACTAAGTTAAAGAGTTTTGTCGTTTCTACTTTCACAAATCCGGCGTCCAGCATTAATTTAGTCAACAAAACCATTAAACGGAAATTTTTCTACAAGATGTAAGAGTTTTTAGATATACTTATTTTAGTCCGACGAAAGACACCGCAGTAACACGACAATGATGTTTAGTTATTTACTAGCACATTTACTAACTTGCTGACGTCACAATCATGGTAGACAGCGTTTTGAGTATTTATAAAGCATAGACTAAAAAAACATTTTTCAAATTAAATTACTACAGCCATCTTCTAATTTTATGAAGTGAAATCGATGTATTTAGGTTCCTCATACCAAACATTATAAGAAATAAACATTTGTATAGTGCAAATTGACATGAGTCAACTAGCCTATTTATTTTACTTAATCTCGAAAGAATATATTAAAAATAAATAACAAATGTTGTACATAATTACCGGAATAATCGCGTAACAACCACGCAAATCCACACGGTTGAATTGTGTGGTTTCTCCTTTTTACTAGAAAGTAACAAGATCATAAACGCAGGATTGTAATTGAAGTCTATTTCGTGTAGAATCCTTTGTTCTTCCGAAATTTGTGAATATAGGTGCTTACTAAAGGACAACTTATATTCACAGAGTTTTCGTTTATTTGTCCGAATTTAATTTAGAACCGTGTCGGTTCTTGTGTCCTTTGGGATTTTCCAGTGAATAGGATCGTGTGAAATTGCACATTTACATAAGGACAAAAGGTTTCTGCACTGCGTCTCCAGTTATCGGATTTTTTTTAGAAATAATAAGCGAGGATTACATAAGGTGTTGCTTTTGTTTGCATACTGAAACTTTACAAACCCATTCACAATTTCTGATTAATAAAATTGTTCAAATTGATGCTGTTGTTCAAGGTTCAAATATCGACTATTAAGGTCCATTGATATTTTTCTTTGTTTGTTTCATATAATTTGTAAGGAAGTATAGTACCTTTCATTTGCTTTGCTAGTTATTAAAAAATATGAAATAATAAACAGAGCAATAGATTAATAATGTAGGTTATAATTTAAATTGCACACTCGGAAATTTTACTGTTTTCAACAGACGAGCCATAATTTAAGCTACATCAGTTTTATTATCGTTCGGGGAGCTCTATTCGCCATATACAATTTCACTCTTGATAAAACGCCGATAATTTTCAAGTCAGCAAAATGACGGTTTTATGTCGGCAGCGCTGTTGGAATACCTACTCTGCTCCTCTGAAATAAATCTAAAATCACTCTTCAAAAAACACTCTTTAAAAATGCTCAGCGGCAGTAATTTGATTTCATTCAGCGCCGACGACGCGAACTGAACCGTACCATCAGGGAATCTTAGCACATTTTTGATTAGCATAACATTATTTTGCAAGCACAGTAAAGCATGTGCGCCAAATGAAATATTGAAATACCGCGAGACGCGTATACAAATATAACTTTATAGCTTTGCAGTTTCTTCCAATCTTATTTTCAGGAGCCTAAAGATTAGTTTTGAGTTTAGCCGCCGCAAAATCCGAGTATGTAGAAGTTTGTACGGCTGCCTTTGACAGTTGTCACGATGTTATTCACCATTCCACGCCTTTAAAGTGAGAAATATTAGAAAATACACGTTAGTATGAATTTCTCGTTCCGTACTGTCATCTCGACTAATGTATGTGCAAACGGCACAAATTGTAAGTAAAATATTATGACGTTTCGGCACGAGCAACGTTTTGTATGTGACAAAAGAACAGAATATTTATGATTCCTGATTGTGAATAATATTGGCGATTCAGACACCCCTTCGAGAGGTAGTCTGTTTTGTTTATTTATTTTACAGCCGTTACTGTATTGGTATCAAAAAACTCAACAATGTGCTTCAAATTTAGCTTATATTTTTTGATTCGAATTTTAAATTTACATTGCCTTTTCTTTCAAAATAATTTTAACTGTTTTATACATGTTAACAGTGTACAGTATTTTATAAATACCAATGAATATTATTTTATCAACTTCAGCAAATGATTTCTTTTTCCATTCCGGAAAATTGAATCATATTTATTTCTGACTAGCGCCCCGCCCTCGCTTCGCTTCGCTGTAGAGCTGAAGTGTAGACTACAGTTTTTGTTCTCAGCCTTGTATTATGCAAATTCTCAGCCCAATCGGTTTAAAATTGACAAAGTTTCATATAAACTTTCATTCCCTATTTTATCCCCTTGGGAGTATAATTGATCAAAATCCTTTCTTAGCGGATGCCTACGTCATAACATCTACCTGCATGCCAAATTTTAGCCCGATCCGTACAGTGGTTTGGGCTGTGCGTTGATAGATCACTATGTCAGTCACTCACCTTTGAGTTTTATATTAATATATAGAGATTTCGATAAGACCTTAGGATTAATAAACTTGGTGAGGTGTTATCCGAAACATATTATGTATTACTTATTTCTTTTTGCAATAAAATGCTTTCAACTCATCTACCAAACTTGCAGTAGAATCTCATATAACTATACTTACGAATCAGACCATGAACCGTCGTTCAGCAAATGGAAAAGTATTTCTATTACAATAAAATCTGCACCGAAAAGTTTCTACGGTTAAACTCTCCAAATCCACACACTTTGATGAAGTTCTCGAATAAACTAGTTTCTTCAATAAATCTCCTTTTGACGCGGTAACTTTTGCGGGAAATATAAAATGCGGTCGAGAAAAACCTCTATTTTTATGTGTGTGTAGGCTGAGCTTTAAATTACCACATGTGTTGGTGATAAAATGGTTCCGAACGAGATTAAGTTTTTATATAGGAATATAAGAACGTAAGAGTTGTCGTAACTCTGATTTTTATTTCCCCTTCACGGCAGCTGTCTTTGGGGTTGTACAAACTCAGATAATATCGTGCCCTATTACTGTAATATCTTTATATATAAAACTCAAAGGTGACTATGACTGACATAGTGATCTATCAACGCACAGCCCAAACCACTGGACGGATCGGGCTGAAATTTGGCATGCAGGTAGATGTTATGACGTAGGCATCCGCTAAGAAAGTATTTTGATCAATTTTACTCCCAAAGGGATAATATAGGGAATGAAACTTTGTCAATTTTAAACCGATCGGGCTGAGACTTTGCATGCAGGTATAAGAACAAAAACTGTAGTCTACACTTCATCTCTATACCGAAGCGAAGCGAGGGCGGGCCGTTATTCATATTATAATAGATAACAGTACATTGCATTTCCAGGAATATAGCACACACAGCTAATTTGGATAGCAAAAGGAGACTTATTTTCTTATTAATGTTAAAAGGAAGAGAGCAGAAATTAAAAATAGTGAGACAAGCTATAAAAACGTGTTGGAAAACTCAGTTTTCTGCTCAGTCGTACTTTGATTCCATTCTAAATTCGATTCTATTTAAAAAGTAAAAATATCTTTGTTCAATTTGGATGTACAATAGAACTCTTTTGAATCGTCCATATTTCTTTCTCTTCCAACAGTCAAGGATTTTAATTGCTGTGGAGAAAAACTGGTGAAAAGAAAATCACAGCGTTAAATAAATATGTAACAATATTTACAAACAAGTTTTTTTTTTAAAAATTAAATAATATTTATTTTGAATAATACTAGATATAATTAGTTTGATGTATAACATAAAGCGAAATAAGACAGCTACATGAATACGTTAACGAGTAAGAGAGGTAGAATTATAACCTTTTAATGTCGGGGAATAATCTAGATGAAAGAACCCACAGATAAGGGGTTCTCTATGACATAAGGTATATTGTACAGGACCAATTTAATGGACAAAAAAATGGTTAACTTTATGTCAAATTTTCCACTAAATATACATTACATTATGTTTTTGTGCCTTGTTAAAGAGCTTTATTGAGTTTTCATAAATTGGAACAATATTTTTGAACAAATAATGCCGTTGACAATATAATAACATGCCAAATAACATTCATTACCAGCATCAAAGGTCAAGTCTTTCCACATTCAGGTCGCTCCGAAAGGATTAACGAAAAAAAACGGACAAGCTTGATTTATTCTCAAACCGATCTCAACTTTGGTCCAACTAACAGTACCTACTTAATCAGCAAAAGGAAATCCTTCAATAAAATCGCTTTCAAAAAGTTCGCCCGGGCGACTAATCATTTGGTCGTCGGCTCATTATTCTGGGTTGACGTACAAATTTATAAGAGCTGGGAATCTGTGCAGATCTCATTTGTCAGCCACTGTCGTAAATCTATCGTGGCCGCTGAGTCGGCACCAGGGATGACGACGACTTCCATGCTAATGTTATAAATATATGCTAATTCTGTCTTTTTGTCTGAAAGGTACGGTGAACTTCTGTCTGTTTGTGTGAAAGTTACGGTGTTCGTACCTAAAATGTAGAGCCAAATTCGATTAATTTCGGTAGGTATGAATATGTCTTAAATTATTTGTTTCTTAGATTTTCACGCACATCACTCATTAAATAAAACTAGTTTAAACGGGATAATGCACGAAACTTTATTTATTTATTGACGTTTCGTAGCCTTTACAGGCTTCGTCGTCAGAATAAAACTTTTGTTTAATTTGTCGAGCTGAACGACAAATTAAACAAAACGACGAAGCCTGTAAAGGCTACGAAACGTCAATAAATAAATAAAGTTTCGTGCATTATCCCGTTTAAACTAGTTTTATTTTATGTCTTAAATTGTAAATACAATACTAACTTGGGTCATCTGAACATATTTATGCTACAACTGTAAATCTTTCTTTCAATATCAATTTTGGAATTCGGGACCTCGGAAAAAACAAAGGCTAGTTTTTGTTACGCAAACAAAACTTAAATGAAGAATTAAACTTAGCATGACAAATAGTTCAGAAAACAATTATCGTACAAAGACAAAGACGCGTGCACCCGCTAGTCTTTAGTAATGAACTCAACATATTTCACATTAACGATTCAAGCATAAGCTTTTGGGTCATTGTTATTTTTTGTCAAATGAAAGTAGGATATCGCAACTGTCTGCTCCCATTTGTAGCCTGTCACTTGGATCGGTGATTAGTCGCCGAGAGACAATTCAGTCTCATTATAAATTCATGACATATTTTATTTTGCTGGGTAACTTGTTAGTTGGACTATGGTTGTCAAGTATATATTTAATTTGAGCGAAATTAAATGAGACAATTCGCTATTTACATCAGGTGATCTGATTCAGAGAAACTTACTCGACGGTTAGACTTCGCTCACGACTTCTTTTGTATACATACACTTCGGAAACCAAAAAGTCCCATAGAATTTCTGATGCGTATACAAATTTTTGAAAATCTTCACCTGGTCCAAATATGACTTTGCTGCCAGAATATCAGCGCTGGTGCGACACAATGTCTCCCTATAAATATTGCCCGCATCAGCTAATCCTGAAGCAGGGTCCTGGTTAGCCCTAACTGTATTTTTTAATTTATTACCTTTTAATATATTGTGTTATTTTTTACGGGTTAGTAAAATTATTTTCTTTCTTTCTTTTTTCTTACTATGTCCATGCATAACGTCATTTAGATAATCACCAAGTTTATAATAGTCTTTATTTATAAGAGTATTCTTGATCTGAAATTTAAATTTGGTCAGTGTAGGCTCAATTACATCTTGGACAACAGAGCAATACTATTACCCAGATATTAACCTCTTGATTTTTGGAGTCTGAAACATGGAACGGCAAACTTGTTCCTAAATCTCGTATTAAGGTTGTGGGTTTGACTTTTATTTGGAAATACGTCATAGTTTTTTCTTACATATATTATATATATATTACATATAATATATATTATTATATTTTCTTTCTATTTAATATATGTATTAGGACGCCAGTGTTAAAAAAATATGAACGTCTATTTAGGGGTTTGTAGATCATTAGCTCATTTCCCGTTTCAGAAAGAGTCTTACAACTTTCATAGTCACTATTGATTTAGAATTTGGTGCAGCTTCACTTTGGTAATACATATTTCCAATATATGGTAACCTTTAGGTGATAACGCAGCATACAGTACTCAACTCCTAAACTACTTACAGCTGAAACAGCGTATATGCATAAGAATGATCTCAATGAATAAATGGCGATTAATGCAGTATTTGTCTGTAGTCTACGAAAAATTTTATAACATTGAAATAAAAATTAATGTGAACAAAAAAATCCCGGCCCCAAAAACAATCTAACAAGAGAAAAATAAAATATGTTGGTCCTTTCAATGTTTGTAGACATGTTTATTTATCGCATGAGAATGCACACACGCGCGTTTTAGAAATTATCATATTTTTAAAATTATTATTATTGTAATAAATAACACAATATCTAATATTGCATTTTAAAGCCCTCGACGTTTTGTTCAATTATGTCATGTCGTCAACCCTATTTGGCTCCTGCCAGCGATATTGCCCACAGATTGTGTTTTGTTTCCTGGGAATCTATACGACAAATCAAGTGAGCAGTCTATATCCGTGCCAAGCTGTATTCCTATCTGGGATTAGGTTTCGTTAGACTAAAAATATCCCTTGGCTACTTACCAGTACATGCAGAAATGTATTCGTTCACAAGTTAGTAGTTCGACCTTACAATAACTCCCTATAAATAAAAATGTACTTACATTTTTTCTGTTAAACATAAACATGTTAGATCCAATAAATGTCAAGTCAATGATTGCTTCGCCGTCGTCGGTAATTAGTCTGATGTCGACGTCTGATAAATGTCAAAAAACATTTTACTCTAAATCTGCGTCATTGTGACTCTGACAACCAGTACATATTTATTATAAAAACACACTCAAAATCATAGGGTATTCATTATTTAACTTGATAATTTTTATGTTGAAAGAACCACACAGACAATATAATATCATTGGGTTTTCTCTTATGTCTATGTTGCCTTAACTCCGCCCAGCCTCCGTGAAATTCCTTTTGGATACAGATATTTTACAGATTTTTCAAACTAATCATAGAGAAAATATAACTAGAAAAAAATCCACGCGGACCAGGCAGCAGACGGGATTTGAACCCGCACCCTAAGAATGGCTAGAGGAATTTCGACACGGCCATCAGGGGCCGCGGTAGCATAATTGGTCAGTGCATTAGCCCGGATAGCGAAGGGCGCGGGTTCGAGGCCCGTCTGCTGCCTGGTCCGCGTGGATTTTTTTCTAGTTATATTTTCTTTAGATTTAACCATCAAGCAGTTACATACTTAAAATTAAAAATTATAATTATAATTGTTATCTCTTCCTTCAAATGTTTAATACTTGTAGAAATATTCATTTGACATTGTGGGTTACTATAATGCGAAGAAATGGCGCTGCCTTGCAGCTTAAGAATGGCTAGAGGAATTTCGACGCGGCTATCAGTGCCGCGGTAGCATAATTGGTCAGTGCATTCGCCCGGATAGCGAAGGGTGCTGGTTTGAGTTCCGTCTGCTGCCTGGTCCGCGTGGATATTTTTCTAGTTATATTTTCTTTAGATTTAAACATCAAGCAGTTACATGCTTAAAAATAAAAGTTATAACTAATCATAGAGATTTTGTTTTCTAAATGGTGGTAGATATATGGCGCTAAGGTTTGCGGTTAATGCAAAAATTATATTCTCCGTCATGTGATTGTTAAACATAATTTTGTAAATCAGCTTAAAGACCCGTCATAACAGTACCCCTTAGAACAGTTGCCGAAGTTTCGTCTAGTGCAGGCTTCGCGATCGAGCCGCAGGGAGCGATACCTTCTCTGTAATTGTTTCATTGAGCGTTATAGCCCAACTGTTATTGCTTTAGTTTCAACATTTTTATGAGTTTCCTATTGCTTTTAGAAGAAATTCAGCTGGTACTAGTTCGATAAAACTGAAACACCGTTAGAGTTAGTGGAACTGAAGACATTAAGATACCTATTCTTTGTACTGTTTTTTTCTTTTCAAGTTAAACCTTATTTTCTTTAATGGTACGTTGTCAGTCAGCCTTAATAAATTTATAATTGTGATATATTCTTGTAATACAAGTGGAGCCATAGAATGTTCATCTCACTGACTGAAATACAACATCACTTAAAAGTTCAGTTCAGTATTATTTTGCTGTATTCTTCTATAAGGTTGAGGTTACTCCTCCGGATGCGTTACAATTCAAGGGGGAATATCACAATGCCCTACCAATCTAAATTTACTTGAAATTGTAACAATTCACAATAGATCCTACCTTTGAAATATTTATAAACTTCCACCGAAGTTCAGTAGTTCAATAACAAAATAGCTCTCTGACTCTCTCTGGAACTCAAAGCGGCCTTAATTCGCATCATGCCTCGTCAGATAAGGAAATCGAAGTTACTTTCCCGACGCGAGAACTTTAAACAATTAAGCCTTTACTTCGCACCTTCAACAATGAGAAGTAATTTGCGGACTCCTTTGTTTCTGGTCAGTTTAAAAAAACAAATTCCTTCGCTTTTGTTGTGCTCAAAAATTTTATCCAACTTCACCCAAATATAACGCCTATTAATCCTACTAACTATGGGACATGTGGACTCAAAAGAAAACTCCAATATCACAAGAAATCTGAGGCAAATGAAAGGATTGTTTTTAATATCCGCCCAGAGGTCAACATACCTTCGCACGGCCCTTCGGTTTATGTACGAGGAAATTGAATAAAGGGCTATAGGCTGATCTGGAAGAACGTTTCAATACTCTTATTGAACCATTACCTCTAATGGCTGTGACAATAGAGCATTACAAATTTGTCTTGCCTTAGTGCAGTAGGTCTGAAGCAGTACAAGAGGAATCGATTTTGCGGAAGACAAAGTCGCTCTTATATTTTAAGTGTGAAGGTCCTGTTTCGGGTGTTAGGGAGGGAGATGGCATCCCAATTGAGTTTATCACCGGATATTGTAGAGTGGTCGGTAGTCGCAATGTGTCGGTAGGCATTGATGTAACTATTGCTGGATTGTGGGACACCAAAGTGTTCGAGGTCGCACCAGTACTGTTTAATTAATTCATGCTACTACTAAAAATGATAAAGTTACGATTTCAGTTTCTTTAGAACATATTTCTTCACCAAATATGGTGAATTATTTTCAAAACATTCATTGTTAATATTAGTATATTTTTGTTTCGCAGAATATTAATTGTAGTAATTTTTCAAAGGTGTTTAACTAAGCAAGAAATGCAGATTGTGTAATTAATCATTTTGATATTATAAGAAATCCTTACAGAGTTTTCCTTACTCAGGTTACATGGTTGCTTAACCTAGATGCGTTTACTAATTATAAATGTACTTAAGTCACTCGTTGTAACAACATTATTCAGATAAAATATAGTTTGTTAAGCTTTATTAAAAGGCTCCTCATAACCATTTATAGTTACGCACACTTCGGTTACACACACACACCCTTATTAATAAGCGAAAGTTAGATTCGTTACTCCGTGCTTTGTCTCTGTCCATTGAATGTCAAATGGCATTTAAGTGATAGGAACAAAACACCTTGTAACTAGTCTTAGCTTATTCCTCGTTTATAAATAAGGGGACTGAGTTTAGCCAAGTTTATATTTTTGATGCTGACGTTTATTCCCATACGCATGTTTGCATGGGTGATAACAATATTGAACTAGACTTAGCAAATGTATATATAATAAACGCCATACACGGAACGCTCTATGATATTTACCACGCACATCTGACTAAATAAAGATTCTCATTTCACGTACAGAAACAAGAGCCCACAACTTATATCAAGTACATTCGTGTGAAAGCATAAGTCTCTTCAAAATGTTGTTAAGAAACATAGGCATATGTGGTCTGGATTTTGGACAAGCTCAGCTAGCTCCTCTAAGTTAGCTGCATTGTTTTAGTCACAATAGGTCAAAGTCTTAGACTCAGCGACTAGATTTCTAAGTTTACCGTCAATAACCCTTTTATCCTTATTGGTATACTAAGACTTACCTGCGGGACATATGCAGTCATTAGCATCTCTGGTCTCCCTTCGAAGCAACTTCTCTGGATCCACCGGGTTCTGTTGCACTAGTTTCTTCAGCATTAACTGCTCTTTCTCTAGAACGAGCACTCGCTGCTCCAAGCAATGCTGCCGGTACAATCCGTAACCACTAAACAATAGAACAAAAACACTTAAACACCACAACACTGCATTGTTCAAAGCTGACTTATCGAATTCTTTAGGTTTGCCCGTGTGTTCGTTGGCCATTTCGACGATATAGAATATCAACTGCCGATAACTAAATCCATTATCTTAAGTACAGCTTTTGCCCGTAATATTAATTATGTTGAGGGAAAATTGAGGTCTTTGGAAGCGTTTGTCGCGTTTGGATTTACTGAAGGCTACAACTGAAAGTCTAAAGAGGTCGATGTGTGAAGGTTACTAAAGACCTTAGGGTTACTGTCAGTAGCCTTTAGGTCAATAAACGATTTCGACAGTAGATCGTGTGCCCCGTCTAGCCGGTACTCAGTTACTGGGCTCTTTGCTCCTGCGCATTGGCGCGGGAAAGGAAGTCGCCTGTCCAACGCTAAACGCCCTTCCATGCGTCGATTAGGGTACCCTACGAACTTGATGGACGTGTCGCATTGTTCGTATGCTGGTTCCGGATGTTTCTGTTTAGTGTTTATTTGTCGCCATGTACTGTGCTTTAGAGTGTACGCAGCTTGTAACATCTGGGAGATACTTTATTTGTTAACTCGGATCAATGCCACCTTTAATACAAGTTTTTTCCAAATAAAAGATTCGTTAGTTTTTTTTAATTGAAACACGACAGGAAAAAGATTTAATTTCAAAATGCGTTTAAACTGTACCCAACGATTCTAGCGTAAAAAATGCTTGACTAAACTTTGTAATGAAGTATGAATTGGAGCTTTAAAAGTAAGTAGCAGCCAATCTTTCTCCTCACATTTTAGAAGTTACGTCTTATGAAATATTCATAGAGAAACCACAATTACTGACTCGAACAAAACCCCGAAAAAAACAAGGGCTTACTTAAGTTCATTATAAAAGGCAATCTTGAGCCAAAGCATTACCATCACAATAAGCCGTGACAAAACGATTTGCATGTATATTGCACATAAATTGTGAGAGATCTCGGTGCTAGTAATTAAGGCATTCAGTTCTTGTTTCACATCACGACAAATGTCCGGGGGTGGACAGATAAAAATGCAAATTCCCGTTTAACCTCCGTAGGGGAAGTCGCTTCTCCCCTTCTAGACGCATAAATCTCTTTCAAAAACTAGGAAATGTTGGTGAAGATCCCTATTGACTGGTAAATTTTCCGGATCGTGACTATTTGTTGATGGCATGTGTGGTAGATGTATTTGAAATCGTTCCAGCTTGTCTTTTACTCCCTTCGTTAAACACCAAGTTATAGTTATATGATTTATTAAATAAAACTAGTTTTTACGGGTTACTGCACGAAACTTTATTTATTTATTAACGTTTCGCAGCCTTTTCAGGCTGCTTCGTCAGAATTATTTTCAAAAAAAAACTGACGAAGCAGCCTGAAATGGCTGCGAAACGTCAATAAATAAATAAAGTTTCGTGCATTAACCCGTAAAAACTAGTTAAATTTAATGAGTGACGTGCGTGAAAACCTAAGAAACAATTATATATGATTTATGTTATGTGGGTAGTCATATCAAAATCAATTAACACATTTAACAAAGCACAACTTTGAAACTGATTTATCTGATCGCATTTTGACGTGTCCGAAAATTTCAGAACAAAGTTTTTAAGACAGTAAGCTAAACAGAAAAGCAGGTTATTCGAAAATCAGGATTGTGATAATTGTCTTAAAATATCATCACTGCATCAGTAAATTATACCCAAATAAAGCCAAAAAGGATCACTACCTAGTATAAAATAAAATCAACTGAAGTAGAATTTTTTGATAGATTTCGATTTCCATAACATCATCTTACCTTGGCATCACAGCAGCCTTACCAAATTTATTCATTTAATTATCAAAAACCAAATCCCTTGAAACAGCCCTGTAAACAAAGGAGGTCCCACACCTCGAGTGTACTTAATTAACTGCCATAATTACAAATATAAGGCGCGTTGTTTTGGAAATTCAGCAAGTGTGTAATAAAATCTTATCCTCTAGTCTCAGGGGGCAGTAAATTATGAACATTGTCGACGCATCGTATCGTCTTCCGAAGTTGGGCCATTTCCATGACTACATTTTTGCGTTCTAAAATCTGATCTTGTTATGGCATTTTATTTTATAAGGAGCAGTGAGCAGTTACACAGGTGGTTAGAGCGTTCGGCCTGCGATCATGGAAGTTAAGCAATTTTTGCAATGGTCGGTCTTTGGATGAGTGACCAAAACCTTGTTATCTCGAGCTCCTCTGTGCTTCGAAAGGCACGATAAGCTGTTGGCCCCAGCTACATTTACAGTCGTTAGCTCCCACCAATCTGAACTGGGCCCGTTTGGTAGGTCACGCCAATCTACCCATTCCATCTTTAGGGAAAGCCTGTTTTGATAGGCTGACGAAAACGATTTTTTAAAAAAAAATATTTTTATTATAGATGAGAGACCCAAAGTTATTCACTTATGCTCCTGTGTGCTTCAAAAGGCACTTATAGCCCTTCGTCCCGGCTGCATCTGCGGTCGTTAACATCCGTTAATCTGCATTGGATGGCAAATAATTATCCGATGGTAATTATCCGTTTTCCCTATACCATGGGCTGATGATAATGATGATGAATTAAAACATACAGGCTATATTGAGAACCTTTTTAAAGTCGGTTAAAAATTGGTTAAACCAATAGTATTCTCTATATAAGTATATGTTTTGTTTACCAAATATAAAATCACTAGCAAACCAGTGAACCAAATGTTCACCAAAAAAAAATAAATGTATTTAATTAATTGAGAACTTAGGAGATTTTGTGTGGTTTTGTTTGAAATAGAAATCACGTTATTTCTCGAAAACCGGAAGTGCTACGTTACTCAAATCCGGTTTGTAGTCTTATCAGACTATTCTTAACTTATAACTTAAACATTCTCTTTATCTATCTCTTACGGTTTGGCCGCTGAAACAGCACCACGGACGGACGGACGGACGGACTTGTCTAATAGATAAGAGATAATAATTAGAAAACACATAACAATAGTAATCAATTTGGATCAATTCATGCTGATAGTTTTATATTGAAACCATTTTCTTAAAATAGACGGATCTTTGTGATACGGGTGTTGATTTATTTCAATATACATGAAAGCTCTCAGGTTCTAAAGCGTCAGTTCTTCTATATTAAAAACAAACTTTTTAGTCCCAATTAAACCAGGAAATGTCCAGGGGCCCCGTCCACAAAAGCAACGACGGTCGGGCCAACGCACAAGAATTTTAATTTGGGAATGTTGTGCTATACTGTTTTTATCGTGCTGTAAAAAGCTGCGTTTAAAGCGAATTTTGTGTTACAAAGAGAATTATATGCATACAAACCCCATATAAACTTTATTCTAAGACCACATTAGCTTTTTTTTTTTTAATTTATTTATCATTATAAACAGTAGTTACAAATTTATATTTACAGCATTAGAAAAACCACAGAAGTTTGTAGCAATGCTAATTACACACCAGGGACTAGCTTAAATAGTAAATTAAATACAAAGTACTGTATTTATAGGATACAGTTAGGTGCATTCCAAGGTCTTATAATAATAGTCTTTCAACTTGTATTTAACATTCAACGGTGTTAGACAATTGACTAAATCCGCGGGTAGTTCGTTAATCATACGCGGGAATAGGAAGGCACTAGTTCTCCTACCGTACACGTTATTTGCTCGCTTCGTACAAAGCTGGTTTCGAACAATAGAACTAGTAAAAACAGATGATTCACTTTTTGCTTGAGAAATTCGTTAAAAAAGTTTTCCTTTAATAAGTTTAATTGAAATTGAATGTGGACCGGTAATATTTTACAATGATTAAATAATTTATTGTCGTCACCAGAAAATTGCCTTTTAATTTTTTTGCTTACTATAGTTTTTATTATTTTTAACTGGAGTTTGTAAATTAGGTCACTATATGTTTTATAAGTTCGTCCATAACTACTAAGCCCATATCGGATGTAAGAACCAGCGAGTGCGTTATACAACATTACCCTTACTTTAAATGGAATTCGGTCTTTTAAAATTATTATGTTAGCTAAAAACTGCCTCAATTTATTGCAGACGTGTTCAATTTAATTCACTGGAGTCTCCACGACTCCAGTCGTGCTATCTATTTAAACACCAAGATATGTATATGTCTGAACGATTCCAATAACTGGGCAGTCACAGGTCCTATACCTAAAAGTGTGGGAACAATCGTGAACATGAGCAATTAAGTCTGTAGTAGGGAGTTGGTGTATATAAGGGGACGTAATACGCAAAAGTTTTGTTTTGTTAGGATTGATAACTAACCCAGAGTCATGACACCACTTAGCGATAGCAATAAAGTCAGCCTGCAGTTTATCAAGCGCTTTCTGCGGATCTTTATCAGCAACTATGAGGCTAAGTATCATCGGCATATTGAAGACATTTGCAGTACTTAACGCATGAGTTCATATTATTTACAAATGATAAAAAGTAAAGAGGTCCTAGTACGGATCCTTGAGCTGTACTATGCGTCACTGTAATGGAGTCACTTAGTTCGCTATCAATTTTAACATTCAGCGTTCGATTATTCATGTAATTTTCACACCATTTTAATAAAGGTCCTCGAACACCACAATCATCTAGCCTATTGATCAATTGTTGATGATTTAAGGTATCAAAAGCACGTGTAAAGTCGATAAATAACACTAATACCTGATCTTTATTATTTAAATGTTCGTTAACTTCATCAGTAAAACAAGATAACAGGCTGTCAGCACCTTTCCCCTTCTGAAATCCATATTGACCCTTGTACAAGACGTTGTGCTTTCTATAGAAGTCATAGATTTGCTCACACACATATCTTTCTACAACCTTATCCACAGAGGAAAGCAATGTAATAGGACGGTAATTAGAGTAATCATTTAATTTACCTTTCTTGTGTATTGGTCTTACATATCCTTTTTTTAGCTCATCTGAATACAAACCTGTTTTGATACTACGATTTATTAAATTAGCTAGGGCAATAGATATGTCTTTATTTATCATTTTCAAATGAGAAACTTTAATATTATCAGGCCCTCAAGCCTTATTAGAATTCATATATTTAAGTATGGTCTGTACTTTACTACTTGTCGCTTTTTGTAACAAGATACTTGAGTTTGTGGGCTTATAATGGTTTACTGGATTATTACAATGCGGAATAATATGTTTTACAGAATTTTCAAATTCAAGTGCAAAGTTTTGAGCTAATATTTTCGTAGGAAGCCCCTGAGTTTCAAATGCTTTAATTATTACACTGTCAATGGATTGAGTAATTCGACCTAGCATATGGTTTACCTTTCTAGTATTTGTAAAATTAACTTTAATTTGATTTGTATAGTAGGTATTTTTCTTGATCTCCAAAACTTTATGTAATTTATTTCTAGTTTGGTTATATTGTAATCTTACAGAGGGATTATTTCCACCACATTTCCACAAACGAAAAAGTTTATTACACTTTTCACGCAGTTTAATAACGTTATCATCTATCCACGGCACTTTAAAAGAGCGAACTTTATTTTTTAATATAAAATTATTGTTATT